CATTCTATGATTCAATGATTCTATGCACAATAAGCCAAATTAAGACGGCACTGGACTTCCATAAGGCAAATTAAGACGGCACTGGACTTCCACTGTAGTATTTCTTTTGTGTAACTATTAGCAAAACAGACACTTTCAATAGCTTCAGAATACACAGTTTCTTTAAAAGGCATTTATGGAAGAATCATCCTGACGGTTTTACCCAAGTTCTGCCTGAACTGTTGTCTTCCCTTTACTGTTATTGCCAATGAGTTTGAAGGTCGTTGCTGTGAAACACAGCCAAGAAATGCACGGGAGTACTACTCCAGTGTGGGAAACATGATAAGAAACGTTCCCTGCTCCTTTACCCTCTTAGTTGGTGGCACAGCATGCACAAACTGAGAGAGGATGAAGGGAATTTTTGATTGTATTTTTAGCAGCTGCTACTTTGTCTTTGCACACCGTGCAGCCATGTGGGGGGCTTAGGGGGAGCTCCAATTATTTGGGTGTACCAGACTGGTTTTGGTGGGTTTTTTTAAACATCAAGCTCTTACAATTATAATCAGGAAGCAAGTTCAGAAAGTTTAGGAAGTGACCAACTCCATGGGAACAGAAATAAGTTGCTTCTTGGCAAATTCTGCAAGTCATGGAGGTGCTACAGCTTTTCAGGGAAAATGGGAAGAATCTTGAACTTGCTGAATTGTTTTTTGTTGAAACTTTAAAAGAAAACTCATCCTGAGGCATACCAAACATTTCAGCCCAGTTTTGAAAAATTATTAGCAACAAAACAGGGACTTGTTCATAAAAACTGGCAGGTATCATCAAGTGCAAGTATGAATTCCAGATAGAATATAACCCTTAAAAATAATACATTTTTACACTAGTTTTTCTAGGTTATTTGTAGATACTTTGAGACAAGTCATCGCTGCTTGTGAGTGCAATGTACACACAAACTGTACAACTCTTCTCTCCCTTTGTTTAGGTCTGAGACCTAACTTCCCCCTTTCTCCCCATTCTGAGTGAGATTAGCTTCAGTGAAGAAAATTAAATTATACTGGGACAAAACAGACTTCAAGGTCAGCTCCTGGATCAGATTCTGGTTCCAAAAATTCACCCACAGCTAAGGATTAGATTTAGTCATTAGCTGTACAAAGATTTGCATTATCCATGAATGAAACAGTAACATAAGCTGTAGATACCAGGCAAAATGGCAAAACACCGTAGCACAGAGTGACCATGCACTAAGAGATCAGAGCTGAACTTCAGTCCCACATCTTTTGACATTTTTGTCAAGTGCATAGGTTAGACAGCCATTCTTTTTTTTCTTTTCTTTTCTTTTTTTCCCTTTTGCATCAAACTTTCAAAATTTGCTTGAAAACATCAATTTGTTGCTAGGCAATTCCATACTGAGCTGATATCTTCCAAGAAGGGACAACTCCTCATGGCACAGCTGGCAGAGGGGTTTATTGTGGGCTGGGTCCACTCTGGCCAGACTCTCTCCATTGTGACATGCAGCCTGAAGTTACGGCCTTATAACAGAACAGGTAAGATCAGTCAGCAAGTCCCTCTGATACAAGAGCACAGAAATATGTACCCAGACTGTAATCCTCTTCTATCAAATCTATTCCTAAAAATATTTTACTTTCATTTTCCAAGTGGGTATTTGAAAACTTTCAGCAAAATTTAAGGCGTGTTCAGCAAGAGTTTAAAAATGGCTTGGAAAAATCTCATTTTTGAACTGGGGGAAAATAAATAAATAAATAAGTAAATAAATAGACGGACAAACGTATAAGTAAATAAATATACACACACACTTTCTAATCAGAGGACAAAGCTGTGTCCCACCACATCTTCTCATTAGTTACCAAGATGATAAATTACTGACTTTCTCTGATTTTCTTTGATGTATGCAATATACTGCTAACAGAGCAAGCAATGTAAACATTGTCTGTAAAAGATACAATGTTGCCAAGGACATTCACTTGATCTTAGGTATATAAACAGCCATGTTGCAATTTCACTCTGACTTTCTTCTTACCACTAAAGTGTTTCCACAGGATTCCAAAGTACTCAGATTGATGATGAAAATGACCACTGCTGGAAAGGTGTTGTTATTGATGAAACCCCTGCAGTGAGCATCCCCATGCTTCCCATTCAGTGCCAGATCCGTCTCAGAATAACCAGAGAAAAGAACTGTGCAAAAATTTATCTTCATAGTAATTGTCTGTACTCCACAGAAAACATTGATATCTCGTTCAGCTGCAAGAAGAAGGCAGGGAAAGACATTATAAGAAGATGTATTCCAACTAATCACCATATAATTTTTGTAGCAGTTAGTCTAGTGGTGTAACTTCTGATCAAATAAAGTTTTAGCCCACAGTCACAGCAAAATACTGGAATTTTTTTTTTTTTATATATTCTGAATATAAAGGTCAGAATTGCATTACTCTGAAGAACAGATTTGACTCTACAACGTCACTAAAGAAAAGACAAAGAATAAATCTAGTAACGCAGTCTACCATGCAACAAAACCCTTATTCTAAAATTCCCCAGCAAATTCATAAAGCAAAGCACTGCAACAGAGTGGAAAACAGCAAGTGGTTAAATATTTGGAGTCTGATTAAACAGTCCCCTTCTGGAACAGAAATTTCTAGCAATTTTGAGAAACTCAGGAAGCTGAGCTCTGCCTTCCAGCTACTCTGGCATGGAAGTCGGGTGTGTTTGTCTGAGATTGTCTGGAGTCCACTTTGCATAAGACCACAATCTCAGGCTGTGCAGACTTTGAAGTACAATCAACAGCGTATCAGAACAATTTATTATGATCTCTTTAAAGTTGGGGGTGTTTTAAGAACCACGAACTTTAGATTTAATGAAAAATCAGTTGGCTCTTGAAAGACAATGATCGATACTATGAAGAGTCTTGCAATCTTTCATTCTGTACATTATGACAATACAAAAGACCTAGAAAACAGCAATTGTTACAACTAATCAATTTTTGAACAGCAGCAAAAAACCTTCTTAGATGAATTTGACCTTTTGTTTGAACGTTCTGAAGATTTTTATGCACTTGAATGGAAAAGCATAAGGTTAGGACATAGGCTCAAGCAACAGTTGATTTTGCTTTAGAGCTATAACATAGGTTTTCTATAAGCTCTTCTCTGCCTGTAGATGATGGCAGGAGGGGCTAATTGGGGATTTTCCTCTAGTGCTTTACAAAAAGACATACTGCATCGTGTTAAACACAGACATTACTCCTTTATATAACAACTCATTTATTACATCTGCTTAAAGATTAAGTGCTATTAAAAATTGCAGAACAACTTCAGTCAATACTATACCATTAAGCCTGCTGAAATGAATTGTTTCACCGCGTTGTCACAACGGAGAGGAAATGAAATCTCCATTACAATGAACTAGCTCTTCCCCCATGGTACGGGAGCACAAGCAGTTTAATTTAGACAGCTTTAATGGTGGCTTTAAAGCCAAAACAATCAAGTGGAGGAAATAACAGCCTAAACTCAGTCCTGAGCTAATGTGGTGATAAATGTTTCTCACTGGGTGTAAATTTGGGCAGAAAGGTACCAGAGGCAAGACAGGAGTTGAAGTGATTTGGCACGAAATTCTCCTGGTTTGTACATACACATAAATCCACTAACATACAAAGATCAAGAAGCACGCCTTGGTTTTCACTACATGAGGACTGTTACGTTTCATTTAATGGGTATACTAAGGTAGAGGGGAACAGTACAAAAAGGCAAATGGCGAAGTGTGCCTTTACACTTGCTTGGACCAACGCACAGTCAGATTGTAACAAATTGCAGGATGTAATATAAAGTATTTCGGTTAATTTTATAACTCACTTCAAGCCTTTTAAAAAGCAGGATATTACTTTACCTGTTAAGGTACCATTACCACTTGCAAAATTCTCATCTGACACCAAGGGAAATGAGACCATACACTACAAAAACAATCTTTGCGCTATGTAGGAGGATAAACAACCTTCCCAGACTGAACCATTTCTGCCCAGTACTTTACAAAGAAGCGTTGTTCTTAAATTAGTCTATTCTGGAATTAAAACAACATTATTTGTTCAAGAATTAATCTGAAACCAGGTGCAAACAGATCTAATGTCCTTTTAGGTGCTAAACACTCAGCTCAATTCTTGTGGCTTTAGAAAGGTAAATATTATTCCTACATATGTATAAATTTAAACAAAAAATATTTGCATTCCTTCAGTAAAAGCTTCTGGGTTTCTGAGTAAGAAAGGAGTAATAGTTTGAAGGTGAGGTCACCCGGCTGATAGGGGCCTAAATATAATGACCTCTTTGCCACGGAGTTTTCATACAGGCAAACCACTTGGCTTCTTCCTGACTCAAATCACACAAGCTACCTATAGTCAACAGTACTCACAGGGGTGTCACATGTAAAACAGAGTAAAGCTTGAGAGGTAGGTAGATACTACAGTAAGAGAGACCACCTTGAATCAAGGACAGGCTCATGGCAATGTCTCATGCTAACAGCTCCACTGCCCACTTCTGCTCTGGTACCCTTCTACATGTTGCCAAACCTCACCCCAGAGCAGGCAGCAAAAACCTGCAGAGGACAAGAGTTTGCCACGGAACAACGTTGACAAATGCCATTCCACCAGAAAGGGCAGGCAAAGGCACTTATGTTTGAAAGCCAACTTCTCTGTATGAGTGTCCTCTTTGATACAATTGCTGCTCTGACAGTGAATTAAAATACACAGCGTATGTGAAAAAGCTGCAATATTTTCTTAGTTTCTACTAAGTTCTCAGTATGTACTTACAGCAAGAGCCCTCTGAATCCACACTGTGAATTTCCAATCTGAAGACAGATGGACTGATATGGCTTCATCCCCCAAAAACCTTCTCACAGCTATGCTTTACTGCAATGCAGAACTTAAGCTTTTTTCTCCATGTAACTGAAGGATAGTAGGGTATCATTTTATTACATACTCTCTAGAACACATCTATCTTTTGGTATAAAAAGTCAGAGAATTTTCAGTCTACCAAATATGGGGTTTTTTCTTCATCCCTGATGACTACTGTATACTTACAGTCTAAGACCAACCTACAAACTACAGAAACAAAAGTCCTGCCTGATTATTTATCACCCTATTTATGCAGCACCATCCCTAAGCAAGAAGTCACCTAAGCAATGAACAATACAAGCACAAACAAATGAAAAATGGATGAGTGCCAAGGTTCTGTTAGGAAGGCTTAATTTCTCATCTTTGCTGAAGACAAACTCTACTCTTCACAACATTTAAAAAGACCAGACAAATTCAAAAACCCAATGGCTTCTCTGGTATCTGCACACCACCAACCTCAGCAAGAAAGTACATTCTCACCCCATGTTTGGAATTTCACCTGACAACAACAAAGATTTTTTGTGTGGAACAAATAAGGAATGGGAAGAAATTCTATCCATAACCAGTCTTTATGAGCAGTATCTCAGCCTGGAGAGATATTTGTTGTTTTAAAACATTTTAAGTTCTCCTTTCTGACCTCTGTCTCACCACTCCCCTTACATCTGAACCCTGAAGGCAGTGTGGCTGGCACCCCCAAAGCCACAGCCTGAGCCAAGTGCTGGGGAAGCAAGCATAGCGAGAGTGAGTCCCTTCTCCCTACAGAGGGTCTATCACCCGTCTTTTGGGGTTCTTGCACCCAGAAAACAGAGCTCCAACAGCCTCATTCAGCTCCACTAGCCCTAGCCGGTCCATTCTGCATACTGTAAAGATCGGTCAAATCTGGGGACAAAAGGGTTTTCTGGTTTTCACCTTTATCTCAAATGCATGACTAACAAGCAGAATTATTTTTCTTTCCTAGCTCTCAAAATCAGCACTGACTGTTGATTAAATTCCAACCTTTGAATCTTTACTGCCTGAGATCACAAACAAGAAAGAGCAGGACTTTACCCTCAGCTCTTGCAAACAGTGCAGGGTGATTAGCATTTACTTTAAAAAATCTGTTTACTTGTAACCTAAACATATTTTCTCCCAAGTCCCTGAAATTTGGCAGACACGGACTCTTATATGACTCTTTTTTTATGAGGCAGAACTGCAAGAGGCCCCTAAATACCCACAATAAGAGCTGGATTCAATTCATGGGTATCACATTGCAAATATAAAACCTTGGCAAAGGGCTGGTGCAAAAAATTACCAGAGAAAAATGTTAAAAGCACAGAAAGGAATCTAAGCTTCCCTCTAGCTCTCACAGTCCTCTCTCAAGAAGCCTGAAACAAAAACAATTACATGAAAAACTACAAAAGATAGATCTGAGGCACATGGGCACAATTCACCCACACTTTCGGGGCAAGCCTATAAAACTTTTACCTAAGAAGGGGAATATAGAAGTAGTTTGTGAAATACTCAAAAAGTGATTTTGTCAGGGGTGGAGACAACATATTTGATATTCTTTGTACGTCTTATTTCTCTGCTCTTCATATTCACAAGGATTAAGCAAAAAAGGATCAAACCACTGATGGTCTTTACGTCAGCCAAGCACCTAACAGTGTGTTGGTAGCACAGGAACCAATAAATAGACTATAGTTTTTTGCTGACTTAAGTTTAATAAAAGCTGATCCTTCCAGAAAAAAAGTCAAAACTATTATTATTCAGAAAGCAACAACACTGAAAGGTATTACAGTGTAATATTATACTGAGAGTTCATCACTATACTGTTCAATTCAATTGCTACCTCAGAAACACAAGATGTGAGAGAGTATTCACAGCCTTTTTTTATTATTATTATTATTCTGTCCAAGAAACAGCTGAGGCAGGAAGGATAAGAAATGTAACAGAGTCTAAAAACATTTTTTAGCCAAGTAAACCCCCAATACACATGTCACCAAGACTGAAATTTCATTTCTGTTTCTCATTGTTTTAACAGCTCTGGACATTTGATGTCCCCAAAGCAAGTTAATTCCCATTTTCTCACAGAAACATGAGTGTACATCATACATAGATATGTCCCATTGCTTCACCTGTTCCTAACCAAGCACTTAATGTTGAAATGAGGCACTACATTTTTGCCATCAACTTCATTTTGCTCAAAAATAGATATATATGTCTAATTTTTTTCACTAAAAAGACATGATTATTTTCACTTACCCAGATAAAACATGAAAGAAAACCCAGTTAAAAGTTTCAGACACTGAAATCTATAAAGAACATTTACAACAACAGGACCTCTGGTGAATTTCTTGGACAAGATAGAGCTCTGGCAAAAGCAGGTCGAACTCCACTAATGTGAGGGGAGGTGTATTCATTACTAACGGGCTGAATTTGACCCATAGTGCCATTAAGAATAAAGTAAAGTGCAACATTAGAGAAGTTTCATTGTCACCAAAACAGCTAACACTCGATGTGGAGGCCTTCCCCCAGGCTTCAGACAGATTTAAAGTCCTGTATTTAAAAATAAGTACTGCTTCAAACCAAGACAATAAAGAAGCCATTAGAAAAAAGTCTATTAAACACTTACCAGGAAACCGGCTATGGAGGTTAGCATCACAGTTGTATCCATTGAACTGAGCAGTCACTGGAAGCACTTTAACCGTCAGCAGGAGCAGTAACCATACCTGTTCCATCGCAAAACCTAGCAAAACATTAGGTGGTGATTACAGACATCTGTTCATTGCATTAAAGATGCTTACTGCAGACATTTAACCACTCGGGAGGTGTTGGTCTCCAGCAAAGGAACTGGGGATAAATCTCATAAGCTTATGGGAAACAGTCCACAGGCAGCAGGGCCCATTTCTCCACTTCTGAGTAATGTGTAATTTCTATTAAGTTCTACAGCTTTTAATCATAACTTGTGGGGGAAAAAAATAAAAAAGGTATTCAAGGATGTTATAAAAGAAAAGGAAAAAAAAATCCTTAAAATATATTGAAAGATTCCTAAGGATTGCTTTAAAAATTAAACTCCAACAGCTTTTTTACATTTCAGTGTAAAAATTCTTTGAGAAAGACATCTTAGAACAACAGTTTTATTTTAGCCAAGTCCTTCAAAACCAAACAGATAAATGGCTTGCTGAGTAATTCTCAGGCTTACGGTCCTAGAATAAAAATCAGTTCACATTCATTTGCCAAAAATCTGTTCTTTGAAGCATGCATGCAATTGCATTGAGCTTATGTACAGAGTTGGCACCGACACTTCCATCTACTTGTTTTGTATCTCCAACCAGACCAGATCAGAACACATGAATTCCTAGTGCCTGAGTAATTATGCGTCTTGGGAGGAAAACTCCAAGGTGTAATACCTCTATTTAGTAAAAGAAAGAAAAAATACCTCTGAACATGCTTTGTCAAAAATATCCCAAAACATTGATATTTTTGTCCATGAATCCTAGAAAATATCCCTGCTGATGTGGACCTCAAATGTGGCAGTGCTCTTCCTTTGCCTATATGGGAACTGAGCAACTCTAAGATTTAGCATGTTTGCTTTCTCTAAGACTATAGGTACAGAGATGCTGATCATTAACTTTCCCCAAGCGGACATCAAATACTCAGTCTTAATTGGATCTTTCGTGGCTACACAATGATCTGAGCTATAGTCTGCTCAAATTAACAGAAAGGCTTCCACTAGTTTTCAAACCAGGCTTACAGACTGCACAAACATGGGATTTAAAGCCTTGTGTTGACGGACAGACCCATAGAAGACACTCTTTGTCATCAAACAAACCAACTACAACAAAACACTGACCCAAACTCTCCTAAAAAGTCATGTCCAAAAAGGCATGTCCAAATTTCTGGCCATTCACTCCCATATAACTCTGCCTGGAATTATATGGAATAAAAATGAGGAATTGGAAACGTTAGCTTCCTGTTAGGCATGCATGTTTTGTAAGTAAGTCAGGTATAACTTTTGCTGACACATGCAAAAGCAGTTTTGCTTGCAAGTTCTACACAACTTCCTCCAAGTGTGACCTATAGCCACAATGCAACCTCCTTTTAGTTTCAGGCGGATACAAAACTCTAAATGAAACCACTCTTTGACCCTCTACTCCTTTTACATTAGATCCCTGTTGAGGTTGACAGCACGTGCAGCTAATGGTGATGAATAATTATGAAAACATAAGAAAGAAAATAAAATTCCTAACAGGGTTGCTATGAAACCTCCGTATTTTCACGGTCTCCTCACCCTCTCCGTTACTCTCAGGTGGAGAAGTAAGGTGGTGGTTTGTTTGTTTGTTTGCTATGAAAATTGATACTTTATTTTGAAGGAAACATTTTTTCCTTTGGAAAATTGGCATTTCTCCAGTGTACTGGAGTCTCACCTCTGTTTGTACAACAGTTACATCGATAAAGTGGCTATTACTGTTTGGTTGTATATGAGCTGGTTTCTGATGTCTGTTACAATGGTATAAATCAAGGGCAACTTACTAAGATCTAAACCTGACTTCAATTTTCTAAGTGATACAGTATTTTTTGCTATCAAACAAAAACCTGTTTGCAAAGAATTTAATGAAAGTTGACAATGACAAAGCTGTAGATATTATTTTATATGAAACGCAGAACTCACAATAAATTCTAAAATTTTAATTATTAAACTTCTGCTGCTATGTTTTAGAGGAAGAAGAGATGATTGCCAAGGAAGAAAGCTAAATGAAGACATTAAGTATTTATAGCATTAGTTCTCAGGCTGTATTCAGAACAAGTCAGATTTTAACACAACCAATAATGTCCTACTTGCTTTATGGCTATTGACTCATCTGCATATGGATCAACATGCAGATCTACATACCCAGTTGAGCTGACTGCTGCTCACTTCAATAAAGAATGTTCCTAACTTATTTAATCTTCCATTTCTCAAGAGAATTGCAGGGCTAGAAAGCATCCTGAGCGGCCAAATTCACCTATCTGCCCACTCCAGCAAGAATCAAAGCAGCCATTCCTGCATTGCCATCCCGCTCTTAAAGGTCTCTGGTAATTTATTTCTCTACAGAAATTTCTCAAACCTCTCTCCCCCAAAAGTATAAGGCATCCTAATGAAATTATTTGTACCATACTGATACTGGTGAACATTTAATCCAATTAAATAATCAAAAGTTTTATCAAAATAGTAACATGAACATCATAATCTTATTGTCTGTACCTGAATATGAAATGAAAATTCCGTGTGCAGAAAAAGGAAGTTAACATGCAAGTGTTAGGAATAGGGTGATTTATAATCCAGGAGTCAACAACGTCATGTGGAAGGTATTTGTCTTTTTTCTTCAACTTAGTATCAAATTCTTTGCTTGAAACTTTGAAAAACTAATTTTTTTTTGAGGAATACCAACACATACTGCAAGGGAAATGTGGTCCTTCTTACGTATGAAACCCTTAACTGACAAACCCATACCAGGTTTCACTGATGTATCGAGAGTTCTCTTCTGTGTTTTTCAGATCTCATCTCCGGTTTTCTCTGCTGAGCATCTTCAAGGATCTTAATGTTTACATGATTTGTCACGATTTGTTTATGACATTCTCAGTGTAGTGCTTAGTCTGAAATACCCAAATCACCTCAAAAAATCCTGTCATAGTCACTTAAATAATTTTACTTCCAAATGTTTCTGCCTCCACCCATGTACCTAAGGATCTCTTCCAAACAAGGTCCAGCATTTCCTGCTTAGCAAGGGAACCATTCTTTCCCTTGGCTTGAGGGTGGATGTAAAAATAAGTGTGCAAGACTTCTATTAACATAAAAAGAAGTTCATGCGACAACTGTCCCAAGCATTACTAGAACAAAAGAGCTTAAAACACTAGGTATAGACAAGGAGGCAGTCAGGGATTTAAAGACCTACCAAACATGCTTAATTAAATCATTTCAGAGACCATGGATTTTCTGGGAAAACCAGCCCAATATATCTAGGCTTCAATGCAATAAAGTTAAACTTCCAGAATGCTGAAAGAGTCAGGATATAAATCTCCGCTGAACCAGAGTTGCCTACACGTTCAGCGCTGAGTCAGAACTACTGGTCTTACTGTTCTGTGTTCCATACCATCGAAGAGTGCAGAGAGTTAAGAGTTTCAACATGCAGTTCTCAATTTAATTGTTACCATTTTATAAAGCCCTTATCCTGCTTTCATAAACTTCACCATGTCAGAAAATCTGCACTAAATTCAAAGTAAAGATGTTTATGATTTAAACAAAAGCCATTTTGCAGTCAATTTATGAATTTAGTTTCATGGAGCAGCAGTGGTTTTACCTGTCTAGATTTCCTCTTCTTTCCTCTCTTATCACTCAACATTTATTTCTCTCCTTCATCCATCCTCTCTACAAAGATCCTCAGAAATTTTCCATTGTGAACAGCATTCACTTATTTTATTGAAATTCATTTGTGAGACAGTTCGGAATTCTGAGTATATTACTTAGTTCAAATATTCATCCTGTATTTTATGAGAACATCCTATAATCTACTCCTTGTTCTCTATTTTTTTTATTCACAGGTGTGGCAATTCTGCAAAATAATATGGTGATATTATGCCTTCTGACTGAATAAGTCTTTCAAAAAACTTGTTAATAGTAATACTGAAAACTTCTGAAAGAAAGTGATAAGCACGTAATAAAGCTGGTGGAACGTTTATAAGTATTTTCATACATATCTACTAACTGCTTAATACTCTTCAGCATTGTACATTAGGTCTCTACAAGTGACAGAATAGAAACATTACTTTTACTCGTAAAATTATTTTCAAATTATCATTATGTCATTCAATAAGTACTTCTGAGTCACCTCATGACAAAATAGTTGCTTGCCTTTTTGCTTTAAAGCTATCTTACTGCCACACTTGGTTCTGCGTCTGCCCGCCAATTGTGAATAGCTGTGAAGTACGCTAATTGTACCGCTGACTGGTCTTCCAGAACTGCTTTGGTTCTAGACATGCACTAGATCATGTGCTGTCATTTAAAAGTAACTGGTGAACAAAACCAGAATACCTCTCTGCCTCAAGTTCTTCAGTGGAAATTTCTCTTTTCATTATTGACTTCCACTTTATGCCCTTGGTTCTTTTGATGCAGATAAAATAGGACTTGGATCTTTACAGTATTTGTTTTGAAGACAAGCTACCAAACGGTGATAATTCCACTCTCTCAAAAGGATTGTTACAGAAGAAAGGGTGTCTGAGATGTAAAGAACTTTAGATGTGTTTCAACTATAAAATTTCCCTCTTCTTGTGGATAATCTTCGGTGCTGAGACTTTGAAACACAGCATTTATTTTCTTACAGATGTCTCTGATTCAGACTCCATAGGGCCATCCCATATCTGACACCAAGCAAAACCTGCAAAGCTGAATATATATATATATATATATTTGCAGACAGGCACACACACATATGTATATATATGACAAATATATACACACAGAGGCACACATAGATATCTTGAAGGTCAGCAGTTTCTTAAAAGGACTAAAGCTGATGACAACCTGTGAACAGACTCGGTTCCCAAAACCAGAGTATCTGAGGGCATGCAACACAGAAATACAAGTATAATAATTCACCATATATGAGGAAATAATAAAGATAACGACATCAAAGATCAGTGCATGCTAGCATGTACAAAACCAGACAATTTTTTTCCTCCTGCTAAATAGGAAAGTA